GGTGCATTAGGTGATTTAAAATAATCATGATATTTCTGATTGTAGTGGTTGCAAACTTACTAAATTTACAACTTTATCTTTTAAGAATAGTTCTACATCTTCTTTGCTCCTGTTGATCTTGTGCATTCTGATGTGTGGGGTCCAACCCCTATTGCAACAAAAGGGGGATCTTGGTATTGTGTTTCTTTTATTGATGGTTATACTAGTTATTGTTGGATTTATTTTATGGAATAATGATTTGAATTCTTCTCTATTTTTTTCCCTTTTCGTGCCATGATTTGGAAACAATATTTTTTAGTCATTAAATGTTTTTGTTGTGATTTGAGTGGGGAATACAGACACAATCATTTTCTTGACTTATTAAAATCTAATGGTACTATTCCGCAGTCGTCTTGTGCAGACACTTATGAGCAGAATGGTGTGGCTGAGTGAAAGCACACAAACATCATGGAGACTGCTCGTTCATTGCTTTTATCTGTGCCAGTTCCCACTTCCTTTTGGGGAGAGGTTGTTCTCACTGCGATTCATCTCATTAATCGGATTCCCTCTATTATTACTTCTGGTGTTTCACCTTTTGAGCGGTTATCTCTTAACTATTTTTCTTTGCATGTCTTTGTTTGTACTTGTTTTACACTTCTTTCGAAAATTGAGTGAAATAAGTTATTTGCTCATTCTGTTATTTGTATCTTTCTTGGTTATGGTGAGGGACAAAAAGGATATGGTTGTTATGATCTTATTGCCAGAAGATTTTATGTATCTAGGCATGTGGTCTTTTTTGAGCATATTCCTCTATTTTCCATTCCTTTTGTTTCTGACTCTTTCAATGGATCTAAGCTTCTATATATATCGACCCCTTCGCTGATGATACTTCTAGTGATTCTAATAATCATGACATGCTCACTTCTAATATTCATTCTTCATATTAGTCTTTTGCTTTATCTCATTCTTCAGTGGTGCCCCCTCCTATTATTCACACTTACTCTCGTAGGAACAACACAATCACATACAGGTACAACTCCTTTTCCTCTTTTAGCTACGTTTCCATAGGCCTCTGATGATGTGGATCTTTCCTCTTCTTGCTATTGTAGGCGCATTTGTAAGTGTTCTATTCACTTTGGTTTTTTTAATAGTTGTTATTCTTCTGATTTTTGTTCATTTTTATCTTCCCTTCATTCTTTGTCTGAGCCTACCTCCTATAAGAAGGCTGCACTTTTGATCCTCTTTGACATCAGGCTATGAATGAAGAACTTTTCGCACTGCATAAAATTGGGACATGAGATCTTGTGCCTTTACCTATTTGTAAGCATATTGTTGGTTGTCGGTGAGTATACAAGATTAAAATCAAAGCGGATGGTTATATTGAAAGATATAAAGTCAGATTGGTTGGTAATGGTTTTACACAGAAATATGGCATTGATCATGAGGAGACATTTGCTCCTGTTTCAAAGATGACTACTATTCATACTGTGGCAGCTATTTGCTAGTAGAAACTCTCTCAAATGGATGTCAAAAATGTTTTTTTGAACGATGAATTGGCAGAAAAGGTTTATATGGTTTCTCCTCCAGACTTCTCTCACATTTCAGGTGAGGTATGTAAATTCAGAAAAGTTTTGTATGATCTTAAATAGGCTCCTCGGGATTAGTTTGAGAAGTTCTCTACTATGATTTTAACTTAAGTTTTTGTTCAAGTGATTATGATTCTGCTCTTTTCCTTTGTTCTACTTCCACTGGTTAGATTATTCTCCTCGTATACATTGATGATTGATGATATGATTATTATCGGGAATGATTCCGAGGGCATTATAGTCTTGAAGGCTTAGTTCCAACGATATTTTTTGGGCTTTGAAGGGGCTTCATCCCCAAATGGCTGTCTTCTTTCTCGTCAAAATATGCGGCTGATGTTATCCACAGGGTTGTTTAACAAACTCTCGGACTGTTGACACTCTTCTCGAGCTTAATGTGCACTACACTTCTACTGATGGGCCCCTTTGGCTGATCCTATTTTATATTGGGTTCTTGTCGGCGGCCTAGTCTATCTCATAGTTACACGACCTAATATATAGTATATGCCATTCATGTTGTGAGTCAGTTTGTCTCTTGTCCAACTATAGTGCACTAAGCTGTAGTTCTTCACATTTTACACTATCTTAGAGGCACTTTACATCAAAGTTTGTTGTTTTCTTCTACTTCTACTATGGAGCTTCATGCTTTTTCTTCTGTCTTTTTGGGTAATTCTCTTTATTTTTGGAGGAGCAAGAAATAGACCGTTGTCGCTTGTCAATATCGTGCTATGGCTACTTTTGCGTCGGAGATAGTTTGGTTGAGATGTTTGCTCGCCAATCTGGGTGTTTCTTTTTCTGGTCCTACTCCTATGTATTGTGACAACAAAAGTGTCGTTCAGATTGCACACAACCCTATTTTTTATGTGCGAACCAAGCATATTGAGATCGACTGTCACTTTGTGTGTCACCGTGTTCAGCTTGGGACTATTTCCTTGCCTTTTGTTTCTTCCGCTATGCAGGTAGCTGACTTCTTCACGAAGTCCCATACCATGCCACGTTTTTTGTTTTCTTCTTGACACTCATGATGCTTACTATCGTCACATCATGAGTTTGAGAAAGGGGGTGTTAAGAGTGTAATTATATTTATTTATCATTAAGGGTAGTCTAGTCTTTTCTTTATTGTAGGGTTCCTTATATATTCTCTTGTACACTTTTCATTATTATGAATATTAGAGTACCGCATATGATTTTTCTCTTCTTCTATCCTCTCTATGTGTGAATTCTTTCCTTTGCACTAGTTGATCTATGTTTTCACTCTCATTCCCCTACTCCCATACGTAAGAATACCTTTGTTTGTCTTACTTTTGCCAATCCTTTTTCAATAAATGTTTTTGAAATTTAGCTTCTTGCCATGATTTAAGTCTATAAGCTAGTCATATCTCCATTTCCGAACATTTTGAATTACATTTTAGCGAAGTATCAACCATGCATATATCTTTAGTCATGAAAATGGTCCAGAGTGTCTGACACGTGGTCAAATGAGAGGTGATCATGATTTCGAAGTTATCATTTTTACTTTTTAGTTGCGGGCATGGCTAAATGAGCAAATGTATCAGACACGTTCATGAGTATCCAAGAATGTCAGTGTCTGAAATGTGGTGGACACTAAGATGGGTTACAAGCATTGACTAGAAGGAGGTCACAGAAACGATAACCCTCGTACTTCTTACTTTAGGGAACTTGCCAAATGTGACAATGAAAATACAACAGGATTGATAACTTTATTCTCTATTTTATTTATATATTAGGCAGTAAAACTTTGATTCAGCTGTCCTATAAGTATCTCGATTAGTTTTTTATACATATTTGTTCTTTTCACATGGTTTACTACTGGTAGATCATTCTGAGTGTAAATCATTGCACCTATATTGCATTTGTCTATGCCATATCCCCTTGTAGTTGTGACCTTTTCGGTTTGTAATGGTGGCTTTTTTAAGGTTGGCAACCTGGAGTTCCAGAGATATCAGCTGTTTGGGATGAAGATTGGGATAAGTTCGAAGATGAAGGTATGACAACTTTATTTATTTTATTAAAAAAAAAAAATGATGTCAGTTATGCCATCATGTTCATTTTTACATCAAAGACCTCTAAGACTGACATATGAATAGATAGCATATATATTTTTTATTGTATAAGTCTTGGCACTGCGATTAGACGTTTTTATTGTGACCTCTGCATCGAGGGTTCGAGTTGCAGAAATAGCTTCTCTGCATGCGGGGTAGTCTTGCATACATCTAATCCTCCGCTGACCCTGGTGGAGGACGTTGGGATGCCTTTTTAGTTATATATATCCTGACTTGATTTTTTCCATTTTCAGGATTTTCATTTGATATTCCTGTGCTGGCACATACCAAATCCGCATCCCTTCAGAATGGAAATTCTTCTCCAAATGATCTATTATCTCCTGATTCGATGTCAAATGCTGATAACAAGTCAGAGAAACCTTTCGGTCAAGGGGAACATGCCTTTGGGAGTGAATCTGCATACACACATAGTGAAGATGAATCTATTAAAAGCCCACGAGGAAGTCCAGAAAGGCAAACAGCATTTGAAAGTCCGTCTGGGGAATATTCAGACAGCCATTTCCGAAAAAGCTTCGAAGCAGATACAGAGATCCATAGGTATGGGGTTGATTTATATTTACCTATTGTCTAGTCAGAAAAAAAAAAAAACAAGGATAAGCTGGAGATACACTACAAATAATTGTTCTCAAGGACACGCCAAAGATACACTACAAATAATTGTTCTCTTTAAATAGACATATGTAATATATCACTCTATGTAGACACAAGTACAGTATTAGTCAACAATAGAAGATAATCAGTGTTTTACGTAAGTAAATTTTATGACTAGTGCTCTATTATGAATTTTCAGTGTAATGGTTCCTAGTGGTCAATAACAAACAATTTTTTTTATCAATAACTAGTGGCAAAATATATATTTATACTGACTGCTTGCAATTTCTCAGGAGTCGTGTCCATTTGTTTAATAAAACTTTAATGCAACTTTTTCTTTTTCCATTCAATGTTAAGCATCATCTGAACCGTTAAATATTCTTTCATGATATAAGGTAGTCATTTGCCAATGTTGTCAAGTTTCGTTAATCATATGTCGAGACATGTTTATATTTTAGGCATAGACACGACCTACTAAATAAGTGTTCTTCAGGTCACCAATGGAGTGTCATTTAATCATGGACATGACGAAAAGAGTATCGGATACGTGTTTGCTAGTGTTGGTGTGACACGTATCAAACATGGATACATTGTCTTCTTGAGAGTGTGTGCTTCTTTGTCTTTTCCTGTAATCTTGGGGTCTTGAATGTTGTTCTTTGGTGACAGAAGCTTTGATGAACCGGCCTGGGGTACTTTTGACAACAATGACGATACAGATTCAGTATGGGGCTTCAACAATGCCAAGGTGAGTTCATTCTTTGAGATGCATGTTTATGCTCCTCATTATTGAGATTTTTATATTGTAGAACTTGGCATTCAGGTCATGTAACAACAACTCAATAGAGAACCACTGTAGTACTATTACCAAATGGCATTCTGTGATGTAGTATGGTTAATGAGGGTCACCTTGGAAATGTCGGCAGGGAAATTCGGTTTATTATGTTACTGGGAAAAATGACTTGAGATTTGATCTTGTTAGAATAATCTGACTGCAACATAGAGTTTGGACCAAGTGGTGGTGTTTGTATAACTCGTGGAATGGCTGTTCAGTGGCTTCTCTTATGTTTGCCACAGCAGAACTGGCAGCACAGAGAATGTTTCTCCTATCCTCCATACTAGCACATGATGTGATACGATTTACAAACCTTCTATCATCATCTATATAGCCCTATCTGTTTTTGCCAACTATCATGCCAAAAACTTGTTTTTAATTGTGTTGTTTGTTTGCCAAAGGCATTTTAGCACTGTTGTTTGAGTGTTGTCATGACACAATAAAAGGGGAACATATACATTGTATGTTGACCCTCTATCCTGATTGTTGTTTCTGCCACACTTGAGAAGAAAAAAATATTTGATTAATGCTGCAATTTGGTTGTTTCCTTTACTGTTCTAAATTTTGCCTGTTTGGTGTTATGATCTTGCAGGACTTGGAGTATGAGAAGCGGGGTGAGAAGTATAGGGGATCTAGTGATTTTGGAATAAGTTCAATAAGAACTGTATCCCCCCAGGCAGATAGTATGTTCCAGAAAAAGAGCCCATTCTTCGAGGACTCTGTTCCCGGCACTCCAATTTCTAGGTCAGGTAACTCTCCACCGAGATACAGTGTGGGAGCAGGGGATCCCTTCTTTGACAATTTCTCAAGGTATGATTCCTTCAGTGCGCATGACCATGGCTTTTCTCCCCAACGGGACACCCTCACGAGGTTTGACTCCATAAACAGCACCAGGGGCTTTGATCATAGTCAAGACTTCTCTTTTGACGAATCTGACCCGTTTGGCTCAAGTGGTCCATTTAAGGTCTCATCAGAGAGTCAAACTCCAAGGAAGGGTTCTGATAACTGGGGTGGTTTCTAAATGCCTCATTCATACTTCATTTTATTCTATGGGAGCCGTTCATGCTCTACTACTTTTCATCATCTCAATGCGATGGCAATATTTTGTATGTTGTTAAGCGTGGAACAAGAGTTGAACACAGATGGACGGTGATAATGTCTGGTGCTAATTCTGCTGTATTTATCCCGCATATTATTTTACGCATGCAGGAGGAAAGAGGAGAAAAATTTGCGTGCGTTTCCTCAGATGTGCAATCAGTTCTCCAAAGTCTAAAAGGAAGAAAAATGGTGGGTGTGGGTTTTGTGCGAATTTGATGGCAGCTGAGTTGAGCTGCTGAATACTTAATAGTATTTTGTATTTCTTTGTAATTGTGGCTTTGGTGGTTTTTTTATTCTCTTGTTTATAGCTTTTGTGGTTTTTATAGTATTTTTTGGATGAATATTCCATTTCCCCCTTTAACGAACATGTTCAAAGTGATCTTTAGTGGGTTTGTTATTTGTGATAAGCATCAAAAAGTTGCGCGATGGAAACATAACCCAAACTAGAGTTGGGCGTAGTAAGACATGCATGAAAACTTGTGTGTACAATGTGGCATTCATCGCCTATAGTAAAAAAAGAAGATTGCCTTGATCTTTTAGAATGGGTCAAGGACTATTTGTCCAAGCCAGAATGATAATTAAAAAAAATTAAAGGAGATTGCCTTATGTGCTCTTTTAGAATGAGTCAAGGAGTATTTGGCCAAGTGTTACGGGGTCAATTTCTCACTTAAATTTTTGTCTCGTGATGGCATTGACATTCGACACTCGGTCTTGGTCAATGTACACAATCNGAGATTGCCTTATGTGCTCTTTTAGAATGAGTCAAGGAGTATTTGGCCAAGTGTTACCGGGGTCAATTTCTCACTTAAATTTTTGTCTCGTGATGGCATTGAGATTCGACACTCGGTCTTGGTCAATGTACACAATCGCTTATAGAATGCACACAATGAAAATAATATAGGCACAACAAGTAAACATAGTATACTCAAGTTTTAAAGGCCAATGGTCTAATTTTTTCTTTCTCAATAAAGCCTAAAGAAGTACTCAGCTAGGGTCTGTTTATAAAAATGCATTCAACTCTCTTGGTTGCACTGTAGAACCAAACATGTTTATTTATAGCATATAAAATGATGGTTACAAAGCTTAATCACCTAGGCANGCCAATGGTCTAATTTTTTCTTTCTCAATAAAGCCTAAAGAAGTACTCAGCTAGGGTTTGTTTATAAAAATGCATTCAACTCTCTTGGTTGCACTGTAGACCCAAACATGTTTATTTATAGCATATAAAATGATGGTTACAAAGCTTAATCACCTAGGCAACTGCTAAGCTACACCAAATTCGCCCACAAAGCCACTCACAGCCAATTGACGTAGGTTGAGACTCACTGTCACTCACATTTGTTGGTCATCAAAAAGGGCAGATGCAACTGTTGGCTGACCTAGCCAGCAATTGCTCTCAACTGCTGTGCATGCTGAGTACACAAGCTAACACCCTCATGTTGTGCACATGCCACCATTCTACATAGAACTGCTCTTGCATGTCATGCACATGTTAGCAATCGTCTGAAATTGTCACCATTTGTTGGGCACATGCAACAATCGTTCGAAACTGTCTTACATGTTGTGTATCTGCTTTCCTTGGGAGCTCACAGCACCTAAATAGCCTTGTCTACGTGTCTAGCTATGCCCAACCTATGACTTGGTCTTCCAAGCTAGCATTGCCTCATAAATCGAGCCACCCAACTAGCCTTTGCTTACATGTTTGCTTGTGCCCACATGCCTATGCATTAGCTGTTACGCTCAACCATGCATAGGGCTTCAATCACCCATTAATTGCACCCAATTGTGCCCATGCATGAGCTGCTTCACTCAGCCATGCATGGGTCTTCAATTCACCCACTAATCATGCCCATCGAGCCCATGCATGCGCTGCCTCCCTCAGCTATGCATGGGGCTTCCACCAACGACAAGTTCCCTCCAATCATCGGCCCTGCATTTCGGGTCTGAGATTTTGAAATGCATGGCCTCCACCCATGACAAGCATTTGTTGGGGTCGTGCCTTGTTTTCATGTGCCAAAGCTTAGCGGTAGAGAGGTCCTTGGGGAAGCTGGCCTGACACCCCTTCGCGGAGCATACCCTTATAATAGCGTTATGAAGCAAAACTCTACTGACAGCATTGGACATACTCTGAGCCAAGGAATCATAACAACCTAAGCCTGGGACATAGTCGTTGCATGCTGTTGGAGCCTTTGCCAAACCATTTTATCCTAGCAAAATACAAGTCCAAGTCCTTTAGGAAGCATTTTTTGCACCAAGGGTTTGCTTCCTCAAGCGAAACCCAATTTGGCTAAGGCATGGGCGCCTTTGGGCGAGGTTGCCACGTGCTAACACCAAACAAAAAGCTAAGGCGATAACACCAAGGCAGAATGATAATTAAAAAAAAGTATTTAATTAATCATTCTGAGTCATAGTTTTAAGATTGAATTGTAATGTTCTAAAATTTACCCAGAAAGCATTACTATCTATAAATCATTAAACTGTGAGAGCAATTAAAAATAACTTTTAAAATAATCATCCATTCATGTTTCTAAAAATCTTATGGTTTCATCAAAACTCTCAAAATCTTAAACCCATCATTAGAACAACTCTACTCTTTTAGAGTAGGATCTACACCTTGTTTTTCCATTGTCTTATAATCGGCTTGTTCATCCACATCAATACTTTCTTTTATGTCAAAATTTATAAATGTGGTTGTAGGGGTGAGCAAAAGTCCATAGAAATTCCCTCTCAAATCTCAACAAGATTTTAAAACATTAGAAAAAAGGTAAGTCTTTTTTGTAAAAGAGCATATATATCATTTTAAAAGTAAAACAAAGACAATTATAATGATATCAAGTATACGGAATACAGCAAATCAATTGTTGAAATTTAACCCAAACTTTCTAAGTATCATGAATGAGAGTTTATTAGATTATTAATGTGAGAATCTTGAATAAAATAGGAAACGTATTGGAAGAGTTTTAATATACTACAAATAGGTATATTAGACATACAATAGGAAACATAAAAATCAAGTTGTATCTAAATAGGTTTGGATTACAGTATTTTATCCCTATAAATAGGGTTGAGTATTATGTAATCACTTATTGAAAGATCAATTTTCTAGTAAATAACACATTGATGTAGGAGTTTGGTCCGTGGATGTAAGTACGGTGTACCAAGGTAGATATGCAGTATTGAACCATGTTATATCTTTGTGTCATATTTGTTTTTCCTATCTTTGAATTCCTATCTTGCAACAAGTATTATTTATGTTAATTATCTGTTGTGCAACACCAACAAGTGGTACCAAAGGTAGATTGATGATCATGGTAAAACAATCTGAGCTATGTTCCAACAAGTGGTATCAGAGCTAGATTGACGATTTTGGTGCAACAAATAAAACAAATTATTGACAATTCAATGATTAAGTTGGTGTTCATGTTGAAGAAGATTCTCTTGCCACACATGTACAATTCATTTTTTTGTTTAGATTCTCAAAGAAAAATATTAAGGTATGAAACCAATCGAAAGACTCCTGATTGTTTTCGATTTCAAGAATTACCACACATGATCTATTAAAGATGTTTCTTCAGGATTTTTGACACTTAGAGTTGAAGTTGCGGTATTCCAATGGTTCGGGACCTATTAGGTCAACATAAACCTAATAGTGATGATGTGGTGTCTCGTGAGTTATGAGTCACTAGGCTTTTACTTTTGAATGGTGAAGCATTGACCATTTAAACCTCCCAAGAACAGGTAAGACGCGGGTAGAGATGCATAGATGATAATGCAGACCAAGACGCAGGTTCTTGAAAGACAAAGAGGCTTTTGATGACTCGTAAGAGCAAGTTTGCACGTGGTGCTTAAAAAAATGGTGGATCAAAATCAAGAGTGCTTAGCCTGATCCTAGGCATGACCAAATTTGAAGAGTTGGATTTAAGGGAGGTTGTTGGAATTTGACTCAAACTCTCCAATTATCATGAATTAGAGTTTATTAGGTTATCAATGTGAGAATCCTGAATGGAATAGAAAACATATTGGAAGAGTTTTAATATGCTATAAATAGGTATACTAGACATATGATAGGAAACATAAAGATCAAGTTGTATTTGAATAGGTTTGGATTACAATATTTTATTGCTATAAATAGGGTTGAGTATTATGTAATCACTTATCGGAAGACTNTAGACATATGATAGGAAACATAAAGATCAAGTTGTATTTGAATAGGTTTGGATTACAGTATTTTATTGCTATAAATAGGGTTGAGTATTATGTAATCACTTATCGGAAGACTAGTTTTTCAGCAAATAATATATCAATGTAGGTATTTGGTCCGTGGATGTAGGTACGGTGCACTAAGGTAAGTATGTTGTATCAAACCACGTTATATCTTTGTGTCATATTTTTATATTTATTAATTTCCTATCTTTGAATTCCTATCTTCCACTAAGTATTATTTATACTAGGGGCATGTGCAGCATCCTGGAGCTGGAACTGATGTCCCTGGTCCTCAGTGGGAACCCTATTGATGACTATGACTAAGGCATCTCGAAATNAAGTATTATTTATACTAGGGGCATGTGCAGCATCCTGGAGCTGGAACTGATGTCCCTAGTCCTCAGTGGGAACCCTATTGATGACTATGACTAAGGCATCTCGAAACTTTGTGAGTTCTGTAGTGGACAATTCTTCCTCAGGTGGTTCGATTGTCGACATTTGTAACACATCTTTTGGCATGCCTGATAGGTATTCCTAACATTTTTATCACCTTGGGAGGATTGACCTTGGCTTTGACTTAGACAACCTTGGCCTAGACAGGCACGGCCTTGCCACTGCGATCCCTAAGGGCCAGATGTCCTCTGCTTCTTCTATTAATGTTAGTGGCCTATGGGACTTGAGCTCTTATAGATGGCTTGAGCCCCTTGGCTCATATTGATG